CGATATTTATTGCTTGATATTTTACCACTTTACATGTTACTAATGATACCATAACTTGCAAGATCCCCATGTCTTTGAAGTAGATCGGAAAAAAAGACAACATACATAAACAATACTAAACCAATAAACGTCAATAATAAGATTATCTTTATAATATTAAGTTGATAAACTCTTCTTTTTGATACTTTTAAGCATTTTGATAGCTAACATTTTAGTGAGTACATCAATCCTGAAAATTTTCAAACTGAGGCGAAGCAAAGGTTTCAGTGATTATTGAGAAAGAATCAGTTCTTAATGAAAACTTCTATGAAATTACACGTTTACTAATAAGCTAAAGTATATAAACAACTTTTGTCTACCTCAAAACTAAAGTTGTCTCAGGTTGTGTAAGCAGTTTGTGAAAAGTCTATGAATAAGTTCTCATAAATTTATAGGATTATAGTTGCTGTTTTATTCCGATATATCATGTAGAAATATGGACTTGTTCTTATCTCAGATGTATTTTCTTATTTATGCAATTCAAAATACATGAAGATAGTTTGATGAATCATTATACTAATATACAACATCCTGTAGATTTATCTTAAGATTATAGAAATATACATAAACAGCTACATTTTGCCAATTTTGTGAAAGTTAAAAAGGAATTAGGTTTCACATCTTTGAATTACGCTTGCCAAATCCTAAAGTTTCCAGGAAACTGAAGAACTTGGTAGTAGAAAACAATATAACATAATATTGTTATGAATATTCAAACCAAGTGTGAATTTGTAGACTATTCTGTGAACATTTATGATGGCAAATGAGGACAAAAACTGAAACAATGTACCAATCTCATTTTGAATAGTTTCTAGACATTTTCAATACAAAGAACTTTTCATAATTTAGACTTGAAAGTTGTGAAACTTTATCAATCACTTGCTCCTAAAATGTATTGACTTGTCTGTGAAAAATTGACTACTGAATTTTGATTTTGATATGATCAAAATATTCTTACTATTCCCAAACTTTCCTTGCAAAGACTTTATAATATTCTGATGTTAACTAGATACTACTACTGATAATAACACAAAATAACATGAATAGTCTCAAGTTTTTCCCCATGAACTCTAGTATACCATGATTACCAAGACTTCGAATTATCTCGATGCTGATAATCTTAACTGAATTTTGTTTGGTCTTCGTTTGGCGTATGTGTATCCTGTTCCTCCCTATAGCTATTTTTCAAAACTTTTCATAGAATAGATGGATTCCATTGACAGTTATAATCCATTTATTCAATAAAATTACTAGATTCATTTGTTTGCCTATTCAAATAACTGATTTTAAACAAATGATAGTAGATTATACTTCTTCTCCTAAGGGATTTCAAAATAATAATTTAGTACTATTATTTATCTAGATCTTATCTGTTCAGATTATGCCTTTTTATAAAGTAAATCATATAATCTTTTTAATAAAATCATTTAACTGGAAAAGACGTCGTTTTGCTGTGCATCAATGATTACACGGTTACTCAATAAACCTTTTGAATTGTGGTTTTCTCTAAAGAATTCATAGTTTGTTTATTAGTGTTATTCTACTCAGGAATTCAGTAGTCATGGTATGATAAGTGCAAAAGTTTGTTTCTATAGTAATTTTAGTCATGATCAAAAATGAAATTAGCCTGCTAGAATACATTATTGCGACTCACAGAGGTCTTATGGTCAATAAAAATATCATCTTTGATTTTATAGAAAAATTTAAAAAATCTTTGTTTACAGCTCGCAACTTCACATCTATCAGTTAAATCTCAAGAAGAAGAATCGACTTCTAAAATTCTTGCTAACACATATTTTTAGATTCCTGTAAAGCATACTTGATAAAGTTCTCTTATAAAAATAAAGCTATGCTTTACAATAGTGAAACTCTAGGAACGATCGTTAATCTGAAATCTACAACCTTATGTACTTTGGAAAATCAGTATACATTCCTTCTGCTTAGTAATAATCTAGAATAACATTGGATTTACTTTATGTTTTCTCATGTAACAGCGAATCCGAGAGTATAAATGACATCAATAGTTACACAAGACTGCTTTTATTAGATTCAACCCTTTGGTTAGTAGTACAGATAATATTTACCACGCTACGTTACCACGTTACATTTATTTTAAAGTATTCGGTCATAACTTTTCAACTATTATTATCATAATTAATATCCTATAATTTTACGACACACTTAACATAGTTCTCAAGAACCATATTCAACTCATGTTGCGATTTACACATAGAAGTAGTAACACTACTGATCAGTCCAAGCTAAAGTAAGTGAAAACGATTTGAAGCCAATGACTTACAAAAAGAAACTGGAGTCCTTTAATTACTAAGCCCTTCTTTTATTAACAAGAATGTGTAAACATTGATGTGTGAAGATAAATCACGCTGATTTAAACACAAACTTTCCTTTGTACACAAATAGAGAATTATATGTGACATGCATCTCCACTATTTCAGCTGACAAAAGTTCTGTAAAGTAAATGAATCCGACAGGATATTGCCATAGGAAATTTTACAATATAATCGGAAATCCCTGTTTATTTACCTGAACTAATCAGTACTTATTACTTATTCTTCGTTTAGCTCCATAACTATTTCATATCTGGTATAAACCAGTAACCAATAAATCCCATTCACAAACGATACTTATTTGATGCCAAGCTATTCAGAATGGATCACATAGCGAGAAACAAAGTTCACTCTTGGAATTTTTATGATCATATTTGAAAGTCCAGATGTTGCACTGTTTTCACTCGAACGATTTTACAACCCAATAAAATATATAAATCTTACTGAATATTATGTGGTACGCGACATTTAATAAATGTAATTATATGACGAAATAAGGCATCTTCATCAAGAAGCGTAATAAGGACCTTGAACATATGACGGAACCAACTTTGAATAAACTAGTCAATAAAATATGCTCGACCAGATATACCCACGAATGAAGCTATTTTTCATAAACTGTCTTAAATATATTCATTTTTGTATTGTTTATTTGAATCTTCTCATTGATGCTTAGGATTGCAAATGATCAGTCTCTTAATGATATATGTGTATCCTGTGTGGATTGCCTCGATATTGACTTAAGTCATAAGCATTATAAGCAAAGATGGATGGTGGCTAGTAGTAGGATCCAGGACGCACATTTCATCTTACTTGAGACTAGTTAGCTTGATGTACCTGCATCTCAGAATTGATGTCCATTCCTGGACTCGAATATATATATATATATATATATATATATATATATATATATATATATATATATATATATATATATATATATATTAATTGACAAAAAATTTGTTGGCAGTCGATGGAGCTCTTTCAAAAACAGAATAGTGATAAGCTGCAAAGCTTACTAATAATGATAGTAATATTTAAATTATTAAGTTAGACTTTTAAGTTTTGTTTCTAATGCTTATGGTACGTTGAAAGAATGACATTTATTGATTTAAAATAACCCAAGCTCATGTCAATCAGTCAATCAAAAGTGGATATAACTTCGAGGACTTAGACACTCAAAATCATTTGGACTCAAAAATTATTTCGTTTGCTAAAAACCTATCGAAGATTTGCTTAATTATTTATTTTACATAAAAACAACCATGAAATACTAATTTTTTGCTCAAAAGTACACCATCACTTTCAGACGATTTGTTATTCTTGTCAGCTAAGTCTCTCCACATGATTGATTATACTTTTTTATATAAATAAACACACCAACCTTATAAAAACACTCTTGAGTATAAAGTATTTGATTATCCAGTTTTACTTGGGACAATTACTCCAATGTGATTTTGTCCCAACATTAATTCATAAAAATATAGGAAATTGTCTTCTTTTGGTAAGATAAGATCAATCTTTTATTTGATTTCCAACAGTTGAATGGAACACCAACTAGCTTTTTTGCGTATTATTCTGTAATGATATTGACAACAATGCCTTTCCAAATTAGCTATAAAGATAGGTACAAATTCAGTAATAAAAGTTTCATTATTCTCAAGAAAATGAAATTTTACGGATTACTGAACTTGATGTTCAGTCCTTATTTCATTGTTACTACGTTCCGATCTCAATTAATATTTATCAAAAATGTAACATTTTAATAATCCTCACTGTATACCTTACTTTATTACGTTAAATTCTGAAAAAAAACTGAAAATGTTACAGATGCGTGAAATCAAAATACAACTTGATATTTAATCATTGAAAGGTCTTACTACAGTAACGCCCAGAATTTATGCAGTCATTTGCAGACTACTTTACCAATGACGTTAAACCTTTTAAAAAACAAATTAAACTAACCTGTTCTCCAGTTTTAAATACCTAAATGTAAAACCCATAAGCTGAAAAGACTACACTTAAGCCTCTGCAATTGCTGTATACTTTTTAATTATATGATACAAATGATGTTCTTTTTGTGGCCCTCACTAGAGGCATAGGTTCGAGCCCCATATCGGGGTCACCACTCGTGCCCCCTGTATCTGGCTTCAGGTGGATCGTATTATGATCGTTATTCAAATATACATATCGTCAATCCTCGTATATAATTATCGACTTAACTTGCATTAATTCATAACAAAATTAAATAAATCAAATACGACAATAGTCATGATGTATATTTCAATAGCAATCAGAAATGATCCACATGGAGTCAGATATAGGACCACTAAACTCTCCAAATATTTTTATACTGTTAGAAAAATTTATTAATACCGTCATCATTATGAAAGATATACTTAGAAGTAAATCGATAAAACACATCAGTTCGTCTGTGAATATACACTTACTATAAGATGATACATTTCATTTGCCTCGTAAATCTGATATATAAAAAAAAATATACACATACCCAGTAAATACAACAAAGAAAAAACAATGGAACATTTTTTTATATTTCTGAACACAAATAATAATTTTATTAATATTAATATGTTTCTTTTTTCAGTATTTGAATTCATGAGTCATTTAAAGCTAGACCACCATAGACAACCTGGAATCACTGGACGGCCGTTTCGTCCTATTGTGGGACTCCTCAGTGGTACGTAACCTCGATCCCTCCCTCGGGATTCGAACCCAGGGCCTATCGGTCTTGCACGCGACCGCTTAACCTCTAGATCACTGATCCGGCATCCAACGGCGTTAATGTCTAGGATCAACCAATTCACGAAATGGCAACGGAATTACTATTAAGATGAATAACTCTTAATAATAATTTTTATTTCCCTGAGTGAGAACAGTTTATCAGCACCCTCCACAACCTTTTTTAGTAAAATAACATGGTGATCGAGAACGCTTTTTATTTAACTAGAGGGAAAAAATAGATGTAAGATGAATTTAGTATCATCGAAAATAAGAGGATATTTCCTTTCCTTTCCACATGTGTAAAATTGCAAAACGTCTTGAATTCAGCTGTTCGGGCTCCAAAGCAAAAACCATCTCTAAAATCTCAGATATATTTATTTTATAAACTCTAACCAGTTAGATAAAATCAGTTTATTACTCCAACTCGACAAAACGGAACTATTCAATAATGAATGCGTCAACCATCACCTACATAAATTAACACTAATTGACATATTTTATCTTTCTAGTTAAAAATCAAACGAGAAGTTTCTTAGTTGATAACAATCACTTTGAATACAATATACTATCTGTAGACTTATGCGTCTTTCTCAATCCTTAAATTATAATCCAGGGAGATAGTTACTATATCAATATAACAGTTGAATCTGAAGACAAAATATGTTTCAGGCCTTAATGAAAAGTGCAGTCCTCTAGCTACTTACAACTTGATTCAGTAAACATGAGCGATTCTTTTAAGTTTCATAGACTTTCAGTTTTCAACGTAATGTACGTGAGATTAATTTCCATATAAATAACGAAAACATTGATAAAAGTTTGTAAAATAAATTTGCCATACTAAACATCATTTGCAGAATGTGCATTTTTACTTTGTAGCATGGATCACTCATTTGATAATAACCAATTAATATCCAGAAGACTTGAAATAAAGTCTTCCCTAGTCCATATGTGAAAATCTGCATTACGTTCATTTATTAACAACTTGAAAACAACTATACGAACAGGGCTACGAAAACATGTTTTGACCTCTTCACATTTGTCATAAACATTTTACAACTATCTTTAACTGAATTATTTTAATAAACAGTGTTGATTCTAAGTTAGATAGTTTCAGTAATCCAGTTTTACACATAAAAAGGGGCTTAATAGATTTGGAACTGAAAAAGTCATAATCCTTTTATCGATTTGACCAGACCTCATGAAGCTGCTAGGTTCTTGGTTTAAGTGCATGACTAATAATCCTGTGTTTAAATTTACGCTTATCTCTTTTCATCAACTTAGTCTGTACCAATGGTGGCATTAAATGATAAAAATATATGAATTAGTATCATTAAACACTTAGATTACTAATTAGAATTCCAAAAAATGTACACCTAGTACATGAACCTAATCAACATTTTATGAAATAACATAGCCGTTGCATATAACTACAGCAAAATTAACACAAAACTAATTCAATTTTCTCACTCCGACACGTAACTACTCTAGTTATTGAAAAACCTTTTTTCAACAGGTGACTTTACAACATTCGAAGGCTCAATAATTTTGAGAAGATATTGCTTACTTAAATATTTTCAATTCATTTGAATGATGACATCTAATGATAATGTGTACCTACCATTTCATTATCACTTAGCATCCTATAATTACATAATTTACTTTAACGCAATATCTTAGTTTATATTATAAAGGTATGTTAAACAGATGAGCTTACCGATAACAGTTTGAAGGTTATTTTACCAGCAAAATCGTAATCAGCATCCGGATTAATCAGTAAAAAACAATAGTATTAATTAGGTGATTTTGAATGTTATAGTATGACAATATTAGGCGAACCTACATCTTTTATTTTATAGCACTTTAATATAACTATTTCTGTAAAACCAAACAAATTTATGGGTGAGAATTGAAATAAATCACATACTCGCTACACCATCGTGCAGCCTTTTCTAATTACCTCGACAAGAATCTCTCCAGCTATTCAATAACTTTTGATAAGCTTCACTGAAAAGACTACAATTTCAAAGCATTAAGTGCTCTCTAAATATTAAAAATGACGTTTTAACCGTCAATATAACAAGATATTTCTAAAATTGAAGAGGGATCGTTTAATATAGAGGAGGAATTTCGCTCCGCCAAACTAAATTTCGTCTGATGATTCAATGCTAAAAATTTTTAATAGATCATTCACAAATTAATGGGTCGCAATCCTAATTTTCTGGACAGTACTAATAAATCTAACAACAATTAAGATGAAACGGAATGTTATATCGATACAGACCCCGAAGATCAAATAAACAAGACATTTTGTTCTGCAGGTCGAAAATGGTAAAGAGGTTCGATATTCGTTAGGTAGAATTCTTAAAATACGTTACAAAATTAAATGTATATTTTGGACAATTAGTCGGTTGCATAGAGTTGTGAAACTAGACTATAAGTGAACAGTCAGTTAAAACTTACTTAACATTTCGCGATTGAAAAAACTGGATTGTTTTTTCGATCATTCACAGACTTAGAACAGCTTATAAAATGGTAAATAAGTATGTATATAAATGTTGTTTCGTAAAAATATTCCTTGAATATAATCATAAGCTACCCTTATTCAGTGCCACGCACTCAAACTTCGCTCCGATAATCAAAAAGACGGTTTAATATCGCTCATTTAAGTTATATTCAGTGAAACACAAAATTCTAATATTCCATAGACTTTATGCATTCAAACCAGTAGTTTTGTTAATTTATTACATCTTTAAATATAAAGAGTAAGTGGAATACATTACATTATAATAAGAACTGAAAAATTTTAATGCTTTAGTTCTCTCGTGTTTTTTCTTCAATTTCGAAACTGTTTTACATTATTAGTCATCATAACCAGTATAATAACCTCGGAAATTATCATCATTGTAATAGTTATATAGATCATGGTTATACCATGGAAATGCTTCACGATTCATTGAACGCTTACCCAAACGTGAATCCCATAAATAATTACGTTTCATTATATGACGTCTGATGGGAGCAAATTTAGCAGGTTGTTCCTTTGCGGAAACGAAATTATCATCGGTAGCATCGATATGCTGAACAGACGTGAAGGCTATAAAACAGATTGATACCAACACGTAGTGATGAAACATTATCTTGTTCGGCTACTAAATGTGAAAGTGTATCCAATTTATGAAAATGAGCCGACAAATTAGATGTTAGTTATTTGAATGGATAATTTAATGTGCAAATGGATTGGAGACAATCTTTCAAGGTATAAATAGACTGGATAACGAAGCAGCGCATCCCATTAAATATTAAAATTATTACAAAAAACCAATCAGAATACGCGATAAAAAACATCGAAAAGGGGAAACCTGTATTTATGATTGGCTTGTTAACTATGAACCAATTGGAATAAAAATAATGAAATAAACTCCTTAAGAATTTATTCATTGGGTGATGTTAGGACAAACTACTCAAAAATGATACGAAAGTGTTCCTATTTGGGAAATTTCAAAATTTTCAACCTGAAATACCTAAAATTATTAGTGGTCTACTAACCAAGCTGGGAAACTTGTATAGAAACTGACAATGAAGCGTACGGAAGCAAACTTTACAATGTTCGATTTGCGATTACAGAATATGTGGGGACAAAGGCTGTGGTTTCGCGTAGCCGAAAGCAAGCAAACAGCCAGGGTGGTCTCATTTTTATTGACTGTTGAATTGAAGTACATATGGAAAAACCTCAAAATCTTACAGCTATTCATGGGAATTTTGACTTCTCTACAGAGGTTACATAACACTAAGCTTGAATCAAATTAAAAGTTCAAAACTACCTAATAAAGGGGTAATAACAGTTTGGACGACCAGTAAAATGTAAAGTAAAATTGTAAAAACCAGCAGCTGTATTTTATAATACTAAAATTTATTCAGAATTTCACTGGTGAATGAAAGTTAAGAGTCATATCTTGATATTTATATATTTGAACACGTAAAAATTAGTACAAGGGGGCACTAGATATATATGCACCACAAAATGAAAATGAAGTTGTGAAGAAATAGAGAATGTAAACTGCGAATAATAAAACAATAAGAACAATCAAAATAAATTAGTGTACGCCAGTAAAATAATAATCATAAAAGTAGTAACAGTCTGGCTAGAAAAAATACAGCCAGAAAGAATACTTTAAGTTAGAGATGTTACGTTCACTTTTATATAGAAAGTAAAAGATGGTTACAGCAGGATCGCCACTGGCTTCTATTCTGAGCCATATGTGATAACGTCTCTAACCACTATGTCGCACCATCTCTCGGAACCCAGCCAGGGAGTAGTGCTGCACCAACAAAACTCAGCCCTTTGCAGCTTTCTTTTATACCACAACACCATGTCGTAGACTGACCACCTTTCCACTTTATTCCAACCAGCTCCAGCGTCGTCAAATAGTGCACGACGTGGAATTCTCTGAGACGACATTCGTAGAACATGTCCAAGCCACCGAAGTCCTTGTTTCAAGGTAGTGACACCAATTGAATTATCGTCGCTACGCCCGAACACACGATGCCGAACCTCTGCATTACTAACATGGTGTTGCCACTGGATGTCGGCAATCCTTCGGAGATAACCATGATCGAACACAGAGAGTCGTCTGATATCCTCGACTCGGAGAGGCCAGGTTTCACAAGCATAGAGCAGAACTGCTCTCACCGACGCGTTGTAGATCCGATCTTTTACACCCATACTAACATCACGAAGGCGCCAAAGATGGCCTAGATTGGCATAAGCCGCTCTGGCTTTCGTTATACGTGCATTGATGCACGAACTTCTCGACTACTATCCGCTCACTACCCAGGGTGAGTGGAGGTTCAGGGTCCCGCCAGTCTTATAGGAGTACTGTGCATTTGGAAGGTGTAAAGTATATACCATATCTACGGACACTAATTGCCAACTGATTGAGTGAAGATTGCATGGTTCAGGTATCATCGCATAGTAAGACAACACCATCCGCATACTGAAGGTCAGGAAGTCTTTCTCCAGGCGATAAATTCACACTACCATTACCTACATCCATCAAAACTGTTTCCAGAACGTCATCGATAGCAAAGTTGATTAAGGATACCGACCGTTGCCGCTATCTTGACGTGGTGGTCGGGCTTGCCTTTCGTGATGAACCAATCGGGCTATACTGGCTGGAACAGTCGTTCCTCAAGGTCCTGCCATGCCGGACAGGTTGGTTGAAGAGCGATAAGACTAAAAGCAGCAAACCCAAGGTCAGAGGACGAAGTTGTGCTGCGGACTATACAGAGGTGTGACGGCAGTAGGGTGTTTCCTTCAGGCGACCAACATAACAACGATGTTGTCTTCACACAAGGAGGGGTGGGGTTAGGAAAGGTCGACCTTAAAAATGAACATCTCGCCTTATCCTACAGATTTCCATGTCCGGCCGCAAGGTTCCAATAAGTACGGTGTGGGCAACCAGGAAGTGATAACTGCCCTAATACCTCTAAAATCACTCAAGATTACTGACTGAATATGAATGGTGAGATTGGGAAACCCTGTCTAACCCCACTGCTTGAATGAAACAATTGAGAAAGGTGGTTGTATGCCCTCACTCTGCCTGAGGTGTTTGTATATAGAGCCTTTAAGATGTTAATAAACTTCTTAGGCACACCCTTCTTCAATAGACAATCCCAGAGAACAGTCCTGTCCAATGAATCGAAGGCAGCCCTGATGCCAAGAAACACTACGATTGTTGGCCGGTGATAAGTATGACGGTGTTCTAATATTTGGCGGGGGTGAAGATATGATCAATACATCCTCGACCAGAACGAAAACCAGCCTGCTCCTCGCGAGTCAATCTTTCTCTGGTACTGAACAACGTACGAAGTACGACGGAAGCCAATAGCTTGGACGCGATCGGAGGTAGACTTATCCCTCGATAGTTGATACAGAAACGACGTGAACCCGTTTTAAAGATAGGGACAACTATCGACTCATTCCATGACGTTGGTACGCTCTCTAGTTCCCAGACCTTTGTAAACAACGTCGTCAGTTCCTTAGTCAGAAAGTCACCACTATCTTTAAAAAGAGCCGGAGGTAAGTCATCTGGGCCAGGTGATTTGTAAAGCTTCAAGAGTTGGAGTTCCTTGCGGACTTCCACCTCATTTGGTGGATCAGTCGTCACTGGCCATGGAGGGTAGGACAATCTGACCGATGTTGCCGGAGCAGCAGGCCAGTTGAACTACCCTTCGAAAAATTCTGCCCATCGTCCAAGACGTCGATGGATGTTGGTGATTGGCATCCCTTCATCCTCGTAGTTTGTTTCACTCACACCAGACTTCTTGCTGCTAGTGGCTCGGATGAGTTGTAAGAGCTTCCGGTAAATACCAGATGCAGGTGCTGCTTCTACCCCACAAATGCCCTGATACGACCGAGAATGGGGAGAGTCATCTCTCCCTCTCGAAATGCTCCCACATGACCACGCGTATACAGTCTCTACCAGGGAAGTCCTACTCACTGCATACTCGTACCACGGGTGTTGTTTACGAAATTGAGAGGACGAAAAGCGAGTGTCCGGCGCTTTAACCGGGTGGGTGGACACAGTGAGTCCACCTAGGGGAGTTGGAAAACCCTGATTTCAAACCAATGGTGCACATGGACTCCAGTATGCTGTGGGAACAAATGACGTATGAACTAATCGTTGGTCACCGGCTACCATGGAACTGCATCACCGTACGTTGCTTCACTGCCTTGTGTATCAGACGTTTAGGTCAAAGTCTTCGGTTGTGGCCTCCTAAGAAAACCACCAGCTTCGGTCTGGGCACACGGGCAGTATCACAGCCCACACACAAATATTATGAAATGTCGATTTTTCTAAAAAATACTTGTCTTGCTTCGATTAACAATCAAACGGTTCACTTTATTATTATTATTATTATTATTATTATTATTATTATTATTATTTTACGTCATTTATTCACTCTCTTTTATTCCCACTTTATGTATCCTTATTTTCCGACTTACACAGCAGCTCGCCTATGGTGGAAACTCGGTTCTATCTAAACGTTCTCGAGTCACTGCCCGGTTGAAAATTGTATGCTACCACCAACTACGAATACTGAGGCAGTTTTCCTGAAACCACATGCACCATTCAAACTGGCTGCCTTCAACGTTCGCACACTTACGCGGGTCGGAAAACAGATATGGCTGGTTATGTCTTTGGGAAGTCTTAATGTCGACATTTTATTTCTATCCGAGACCCGTATTCAAGACTCTGGTGATTTCGTCAGACACCAACCCATTAGGGCTGATCAGACTTCCGAAATAAGTGAAGTTGTCGACGCGTTCGACTACTTCACTCCCTATCCTTAGTTCAGGTGCTGACGCAGACCAGTCCTGAAGCAAAAACTTGCATTTAGAGGGGGAGAAGCGAATCTCAAACATTTTGGCATTGTTGCTTAGTGCTACCAAAAGACTGCATTTTATCAGCGTCTTCACCAAACAGGACAATGTCATCTGCGTATTCTAAGTCGATAAATGGACCTCCTGGTAGGAGATCAATGCCTGAAAATTCAAACGACGAGAACGTTTTTTTCATCAGTAGGTCTATGATGAAGTTTAACAAAGATGGAGAAAGTGGACAGCCGTGACGGTTACCACTTAAGGTTGCGAAATCAGATGACAGTTCGCCATAAGCTCTGATTCGACTAGTAGTGTTCGAGTAAAGAGCCTTCACAAGGTTTACGTAGTTCTAAGGTACGCCTTTCAATGACAAACACTTCCACAGAACCTCTTGGTCTACAGAGTCAAATGCTACTTGTAGGTCTGTGTTCTAAAACCTGATGAATGGTGAATATGTCGTCGATGCAGCCACGACCAGGTCTGAAACCAGCCTAATTTTCTCACTTTTCCAGTTCACGGGTTTTTGTTAGGCGCCCGATAATTATTGAGGCTAGTATCTTAGGTTCTATATTAGTTAACTTCGCTCTTCATCTGTCGCTTCGAAAAGCTTGTTTCACGTGCGTTTATCCGGGGACCCTGTGGCATCTTCGTCTGGTCTTGCTGGTGTTGGTGTCGCATTAAGTGCTAGAGCTGAGACAGCACTGTTCAATTGGATCCCCACTAACAGTCGGTTATGTGCTGTTAGATTAGAAAGTTCCATCAAAGCGAAAATAAATCGGCGTGAAAAACGATGTCTTTTCGTCATCTCCGCCTATGCCTCGACAGATTGCAGCCCGTATGCAATCAAGAATGAACTTTACGACCAGTTAACAGTTGTTCTACAGAAAGTGCGTTCGACAGATATTGTAGTACTAGCCGGAGACTTGAATGCTCAAGTCGAGCACAGAAGAGAATCGTCTAGGTGGCCAATGGGGACTTGTTGGTCGCAGGACAGATAACGGTGACCGTCTACTGCAACTGTGCACAGACCACAACCTGTTTCTAGCTAGCAATAACTTTCGGCACAGTCATCGCCGATGTTACGACTAAGTATCGAATCGAGCTAGCTTCTAGGCTAGATACCATTCCACCGAAAAATATAGATGAGCATTGGTCGCAACTTCATGACGTCATGAAAATTGCTAGTAAAGTCCGTTTGCTGCTTCGCGAACCGTCCAGCTCATAAGCACAGGGTTTCTCCAGGCTCCTTACAACTCATCGAAGCCCGTCACTCTACTCCGGGTGACCGTGAGTTTGATCATAAACGAAGGATGTTACGTAATGAAATCGGGCAAAGCTTGCGTAAGGACCGAGAAGCCTGGTGGTCGGAGTGTGCTAATGAGCCGGAAGCAGCAGCTGCACCTGGTATTTACCGGAAGCTCTTACAACTCATCCGAGCCACTAGCAGCAAGAAGTCTGGTGTGAGTGAAACAAACTACGAGGATGAAGGGATGCCAATCACCAACATCCATCGACGTCTTGGACGATGGGCAGAATTTTTCGAAGGGTAGTTCAACTGGCCTGCTGCTCCGGCAACATCGGTCAGATTGTCCTACCCTCCATGGCCAGTGACGACTGATCCACCAAATGAGGTGGAAGTCCGCAAGGAACTCCAACTCTTGAAGCTTTACAAATCACCTGGCCCAGATGACTTACCTCCGGCTCTTTTTAAAGATAGTGGTGACTTTCTGACTAAGGAACTGACGACGTTGTTTACAAAGGTCTGGGAACTAGAGAGCGTACCAACGTCATGGAATGAGTCGATAGTTGTCCCTATCTTTAAAACGGGTTCACGTCGTTTCTGTATCAACTATCGAGGGATAAGTCTACCTCCGATCGCGTCCAAGCTATTGGCTTCCGTCGTACTTCGTACGTTGTTCAGTACCAGAGAAAGATTGACTCGCGAGGAGCAGGCTGGTTTTCGTTCTGGTCGAGGATGTATTGATCATATCTTCACCCCCGCCAAATATTAGAACACCGTCATACTTATCACCGGCCAACAATCGTAGTGTTTCTTGGCATCAGGGCTGCCTTCGATTCATTGGACAGGACTGTTCTCTGGGATTGTCTATTGAAGAAGGGTGTGCCTAAGAAGTTTATTAACATCTTAAAGGCTCTATATACAAACACCTCAGGCAGAGTGAGGGCATACAACCACCTTTCTCAATTGTTTCATTCAAGCAGTGGGGTTAGACAGGGTTTCCCAATCTCACCATTCATATTCAGTCAGTAATCTTGAGTGATTTTAGAGGTATTAGGGCAGTTATCACTTCCTGGTTGCCCACACCGTACTTATTGGAACCTTGCGGCCGGACATGGAAATCTGTAGGATAAGGCGAGATGTTCATTTTTAAGGTCGACCTTTCCTAACCCCACCCCTCCTTGTGTGAAGACAACATCGTTGTTATGTTGGTCGCCTGAAGGAAACACCCTACTGCCGTCACACCTCTGTATAGTCCGCAGCACAACTTCGTCCTCTGACCTTGGGTTTGCTGCTTTTAGTCTTATCGCTCTTCAACCAACCTGTCCGGCATGGCAGGACCTTGAGGAACGACTGTTCCAGCCAGTATAGCCCGATTGGTTCATCACGAAAGGCAAGCCCGACCACCACGTCAAGATAGCGGCAACGGTCGGTATCCTTAATCAACTTTGCTATCGATGACGTTCTGGAAACAGTTTTGATGGATGTAGGTAATGGTAGTGTGAATTTATCGCCTGGAGAAAGACTTCCTGACCTTCAGTATGCGGATGGTGTTGTCTTACTATGCGATGATACCTGAACCATGCAATCTTCACTCAATCAGTTGGCAATTAGTGTCCGTAGATATGGTATATACTTTACACCTTCCAAATGCACAGTACTCCTATAAGACTGGCGGGACCCTGAACCTCCACTCACCCTGGGTAGTGAGCGGATAGTAGTCGAGAAGTTCGTGCATCAATGCACGTATAACGAAAGCCAGAGCGGCTTATGCCAATCTAGGCCATCTTTGGCGCCTTCGTGATGTTAGTATGGGTGTAAAAGATCGGATCTACAACGCGTCGGTGAGAGCAGTTCTGCTCTATGCTTGTGAAACCTGGCCTCTCCGAGTCGAGGATATCAGACGACTCTCTGTGTTCGATCATGGTTATCTCCGAAGGATTGCCGACATCCAGTGGCAACACCATGTTAGTAATGCAGAGGTTCGGCATCGTGTGTTCGGGCGTAGCGACGATAATTCAATTGGTGTCACTACCTTGAAACAAGGACTTCGGTGGCTTGGACATGTTCTACGAATGTCGTCTCAGAGAATTCCACGTCGTGCACTATTTGACGACGCTGGAGCTGGTTGGAATAAAGTGGAAAGGTGGTCAGTCTACGACATGGTGTTGTGGTATAAAAGAAAGCTGCAAAGGGCTGAGTTTTGTTGGTGCAGCACTACTCCCTGGCTGGGTTCCGAGAGATGGTGCGACATAGTGGTTAGAGACGTTATCACATATGGCTCAGAATAGAAGCCAGTGGCGATCCTGCTGTAACCATCTTTTACTTTCTTCATAAAAAGTGGTTTTATCTTCCTTATCTAAAGGATTTCTTCTGGTTGTACCCTTCCGTTTGCCCCATTATTATTATTTTGATTCCACTACCTTACACTAGTCTGCTCGTTATTGTTTTTTGTACGCTCCTCACCTTTGTTTTCTTTTCGAATTCTCATTGTTTTGTGTGGCGCATATATATTTGGTGCCCTCTTGTACCAATATTTATGTGTTCAAATAAATAAATAGATAAAATACATGTTTATGATTTAACACCACAGAAAATATGTAACAAAATGATATGAATTTAAATGCACCTATGATTAAGTTTATTCTGAATCGTTCTAATTACTTTTCTCAGTGCTTCTGTATTAGGGAATTAACTACACGGTCAGAATGCACTGGTTACACAAAGGAGATTTTAACAAACCGAAATGATTGATACTTCATAAATATTTGACTAGCAAATATCAATACGTAAATGCTGGATAATCTAAACTATAAATTTTAACCCCTTGAATTTTCTAAAAGAAAACATTTGATCTACTGGTCAAATTATATCAACAGAGATACTATCCAGATAATACTACGAATTTACTGTCAAACAATAAATCAGTAGTTAAAATAAGGTTTGGTAAAAAGATCAATAACATTTAACATCTGACTGTCATGTCATTTTATCACTTGAAATTAACGAATGCCGACAAATAATTTTTCAACGTGTAACAACTGGTACATACGACGTGATAGGATAGGGATTTCGTTCTATCAGTTCATTAGTTGCATCTATATAGAAGTTAATGGGAACACTTTTGACATGAACTGAAGCTAAATGATACACATTTTATAGATACATTTTGTATTGTTTGTTTGTATCTTCCCATCGATGTTTAAGACCGCAATTGATCAGCCTCTCATTTTAGAGATACTAAGAGTGATGTTAAGTTTTATGACGCTTTTACTGTTCACCGGTATGATAAGCGAGACTTGCAATACTAATTAATTATAATGCCAATAATTCATACAAAATTTGTAAAAGTAACCACTACTTAGCTGTAATGGCAGCAACAATGCTTTGCATATGAGGATGAGATGATGAGAAAACTCGAATTAAAAAATTAGGGGATCGTCTATTTATCCTAATGGAGTATAGGGAAATCAGGGAAACGTTTAAAAAAATGAAGCCAAAAGATTTATCATCAAGTTGACAAGGTCCGCAAATAAACTGAAGTAACCACTAAAGGTAGGGATTTGTAAATATATAATAATAAATGAGACGAATTCCATGAGATTTCTATAAACACGAAAACAGGAACGCTAACCTGAAAGACTGAAAACAGAAAAACAAAGCCGAAATATTTGCCATTACTACCTGTTTGATCTTCATCACAATAGGTTTTTTAGGTTGGAATTACTAACATTTAGAATGTTACGAGGACTACCAATTTTTTAGCAAATAAACCAAATGTAAAAAATCTATATTCTTCAATATAAAATATTTATCATTCAATATTAAAGGGATTCAGATACTTCTACATTATTAAAATTCTTTTAACCATCACTAATATTCTAGACCCATATACGTTTATCATCTAACAAGATGGAATTTTTTAGTCTGTATTCTTTTAAAACCTACCCGGTAATTTTTACTTGAAGGAACGACATAAATGGTACATAAATATATATTTATTACTGTTTTACTTTGAAAAAAGAAGACACAGAAATGAAGATTGAAAAATTAACACCATGATGGATGATAATCATCATCGAACAGCATTACAAACAGATACAAAGCTCACAAGTACTCTCTCTTTCCTAAGCACATACATAGACATGTATAGTGAATAAAAAGGTATAGAAACATTATGAAGAATCAAATCAATAATGATACCTAATAAAATAAACCCATAGATAAATATACAGCGTATGAAAATATAAAAACTCTATGAACAAGATGCATAAAAAATTTTTAGAATGAGTACAACAATTAAGCTTGAATAGTTCAGTTTGCAATAATCAGATAGAAAACAGGTTCAATGAATACACACTAACCAGAAAGAGATGACGATGTAGAGTTAGTAGAAGGAAAATTAACTTCTTGACACTTACAAACGAGTTTAAGATAGAATTAAATCTTCATACTTTTTGAAAGCCTTTGATTAATTAAATTGAGGAGTACATGATTTGATTGTGCGCTCAATGAATCCGTCTTTTTCTACTAAACAGATCATATCTGCCACAGTTTGTTCAACAGCAGCGCTTATAACGCGAGAAGACATCTGGGAAAACAAGAAAAAACTACTAATAACAAAAACAAGTAGACACTGAAAAATTATATAGCAGATCACTTAAAATTCTATTAAGTACACGATAAACTTCAAAAGTTTTACTGATTTCTTACTATACTACTCAACTAACCACTGAAAAGACCATTAAGAAAGACATTCTTTTGTGGAGTGACTGATTTATTGAATTTTCCTATACTGAATTAATGATAGTATTTAATCGAATCAATACACGTACGCGATGTTTATCACTTAGATAAAAACGATAACACATACTAACAAACGTATTTGAAACAAACAAGTGGAACCCGACACTTTATGAGTGAAGTAAAAAGATGTATGGTAGCAACAGTTTCAGTTATCTGAGCAACTGCACTAGTTCTAGAGGGTTAAGGACTAACGAGACACTTCAACACATTAAATTTAACGACCTATATTTCTACTGAACTAGGGGATAATATACCAGTATAGAGGTGTAGTCTAGTACGTTACATGGTCAATATAGATATCTGATCAATTATGCCCATTTACGATCATCGTTCACGTATGGTACAACTAGTCGAAAAGTAAACGGTAAAAGGGCTTTTAAAAAGTTAAATTAATCAATGAAGTATTAAATCTGTAGTGAATGAGATAAATCTTTAATTGGAACCATAGAAAAAGGAAAGAAAAAATCGATGGGATCAATCATGCAAAATTATGCATTGCAGACTGGTAACTAACTATTTTCTTAATAGTGAAAATGGGTGGATAAAAGCTTTGTGTGCTTATCTAGAAGTGAGCCAGGGGTGCCAGATGAAGATCAACTCCGTCTTAATACTAAACCTTCAGAGTTCCACATTGAAGAAGTTTTCTATCTTTCTTTCGACGCTATCAAATAAATGATTTTTGCAAAGCACTTACCGGTTCCCAGTCTGTTACGTCACTCGGAGGATATTTAAAATATGGACCGAAATTGACAGAAACAGTAGCAGATTTATATATTGATATTGCTGGATAATAAGTGCCTGCATAGATATTCGTAAAAGCTGCTCCCATACATTTACCATTGTGGTAGAACGTAATCTGAAAATATATTAAAAACTAAGAATACATTGTATGTAAGAAATGTACACCCAGACACACACAAACACATACACACTATTCCCGAAATCAGATTAAACAGTTCGAAAACTCAAATAGATAAATATTCACTTATTATTACGTCAAACGCTTATAACCCAGGATGTATGAATAAAAACTTTTTGTACTAAACGTATGTTACAGCATCACTGTGTAAGAATGTGTACAATTTAAGTAAAACACTTCATAATAAGAGAATTTAGTTACGAGTTGATCAAGAAGCGTATATCTTCACTGGGATTCAGATAAACGATAGTCGATAATTCCATAGATTACCAGGACCAATTAACACAGGACAACTGAATCCAACAAAAGTGTCAATACGGTCTTGAAAAAAATTAATTGCCCCACCGAATTACAAGAACTGTGGTGTAATATATTAAACAAATAGTTCAGTTTACAAGACTAACGTCTAAATCTTGAATTCATGGTCATAACGTGCACATTTATCTTAATGCAGAATCGGAAATAAAATAAAATTTAAATATACGAACTTGACAAGAAACAAATACAACTGCGTATAAAATTTATGACACCAATATGAACAGTTTTATTTTCAAAACCTGTCAGTGTGTATGATAAAAGAGAAAGAAAAATAATTAAACTCTCCACCCACTTTCATTTTTTCTACTTAATGGAACGATACTAATTGTGATCCGTAAAAACAACCAGCTGGACAAAAGATACAACGGATTTAGAGATTTAGAAAGAAAAGAAATTATTTTCAGGAGGACAGAAAGAAAGAAACAATTGAACCTTTTTATGCATTTAATAGAGTGAAAAGAAATCCGATCAATTGTCTTAGTGGATTATTTAAGAAAACTGAGAACAACAGCAACAAGAAATTGTTTTCGAGAAAATATTGGATTTGCGATTATTAACGGACGCAGATCAGTGTTTGTCTAATGAAACATATTGTCACACAAAAAACGATTATTAAACACACATGTTCTATAATTATCATATGGAATATCAGGGAGAGCTGAATGAAATACAATCTAGACATGGAGACGATAACAGTAATGCCAAAATCCATGGTGACAAGTGATTGCAGTGAAATTTAATCAACAAGCATACTTTTTTTACTAACACTATTTATTCCTACTATGTTTTTTTTAAAAAGGAATAACCTAACAATAAAGTAGTTAATATAATAATTAACTAAGAAAATCTAACATACGAAAAAGAATGAGTCAAAGTGGACATTGTCAAAAATCTAGTCGTTGATATAATGAAAACTTCACTACACTGGATGATCTTAAAATGAAGAAAAAACAATGGTATTACTGATCTAAATCGTTTAGAATTCCCACTTACCTACAACTTACAGAAGTAATGAGAAAAGGACTGAAAGATAAAACCCATAGTAACGCTAAAATATGCCCGTTTAAACACGTCTTGTTTTGGTTTCATCTGTTTACCCATGATAAGATATTCTAACATTTTTAAACATACTTTTAGATTACATGGATGTTATTTGACTAGAATGTGTAATACACAAACGCTACGAAATAAATATAACGCTTCTAAGTTACCGACAAAAACGATAAAATTCCCTACGAATTCGATCAAAATAAATTAGTAATATGTTGTCACGTCTATAAACATAAAGAAGTAATACGAGAATCAGAAAGCAACAATTAATATAAAACGAACAAACAAGAGTCCATCTCACTTTCGAAGTACGACTATACTGTGTTAACTCTAGTTTAACATTTGAAGGAAACTAATGCATATTATCTACAAGATTATCTGCAATTATAAATGGTTAACTCATAACTGGTTAAGTTTTACACACTTTCTATAAATTTCCCCGTTGACCAATTATATAAGTCATAGTAGATATCGCCACTATATGTTAATTGAAAAAAGTCCGGGTGGAAAATTTCTATGACTTAAAGGTTTTTCTTATATACATTTGACTCTAATCAACCACGTTGAACACTTTATCACAGTATGAATGCCTGAATGGTTTTTAATCGTCAACGTAGCCAAGTTGGATGTCTTGTGTGGACTATTCTGATCACTTATTCAAAAACAATTACTGTATCCTCATTAACAAGTCGGAAAATTCAGTTTACTTTCTGCTTAACAGTATATATTGTTCGCTGATGGCTAATTCACTGTCAGTAATATGACACCCTTAAAACCAAATCCCGAGACTGAAGTAGGAAATACAGATCTATTTAAGAATTTACACTGACTAGACCAGTTTAGATCTTGAATACTCTAGGGTATATAGAAATAAATTTATAGTCATTTAGTTAAATAACTCTGATATGATATTTGCACTGTTACTGTACAAAATCCATAACTATCTGATACCTTAGCAGTAAGTTGACGAGTCTGCCCCAAACTCTTTTATAGTAACACTTACTTATTTCTATTCACAAACTTATTATAACAACATCTGAGATATCGTAAAATGAGATTAAAACTGTCACCTTTCACTGAAATAGGAATCTATCCTATTAGACTTCACAAATTTATCAATGTCTAAACAAACTTGGTAGACAAAATGTTTTCGAAAAAAACTAAGACATTTATATACAACAGCTCACAACGTCGCAAATTTGAAAATTCGAAATACTGACATGTATCATAATAATCAAAAATCCATTGGTTAAACACTTCTTACTCACCTTACTACCAGGCAACGGATGAAGTAATTTTTCCGCTTTTGTCGGCTCATCCTTCTCCTCAAAGTAAAAAGAATTCCGAAATCTGATGAGTGGCTAGTAGAGGAAAACAAGAGCCAAAAATTACATGACATTTATTGAAATCAGGATTAATTTCGTAAATACAGTTATATGATATACCACTTATATGAAATTTCATTCCTCGTCTAACCATATTATTTAAATGGAGCAGACAATAAACTATGTAGATAATTATATACATCAAAAGAAATATGCGCATAGGAACATAGCAAGCTTAGAAACTGATATCTTAATTGAAATTTAGAAATAGTTATGTAAAATATCATAAAAAACTGAAGGTCCTGTATATGATATTGTACAGAGTAAAGGGTATACCAATCAATCGTATAAGACGTAGGACGTCCCGCTAATGTCCATCAGCCCAGATTTCCATACCTCACATCACTTTCTTTTTTTCGAAAGTTCCTAACCCCAAGCAAAGCAATTTTCCAATGCTTCCTGATTAGTGATGGTTATCCAGAGTGATAAAAATACATAGACTGATAGAGTTTTCGTAGACGACAACAATTAATTATACATACCTACAAACAAACTCATTTTATACATTTATTCCACCTCAGTGCTAAAATGTGAATGTTAAAAAGATTTAATGATATATCATTAATAGCAAATGGTACATTGAAGCCATCACGTTAGGTTGATCTTCAAATAATACTATGATTCAGTGGTAATATATTGCAAAATCTCGAAAACGTTGAAAAAGAATAAAATTCGAATTGAAATCAAAAGATCAGCTTACACGATCTTTATATGTCTCAGGAAGATAATTGGAAGTACAAAATAAATTTTTATATTTATTCATATTCTGTCCACTAGATGTATTGTTTAAGTTGGATTTAATGTCGCCAGCCACAGATGATAATGAATTCGCTTGGGGCGTTTTAAACAGTCCAGAAGACTCTGAACATTGATTTTCTAACGATGTGAAAGGACCAGTAGTTGAAGGTAAATAGATCATACATCCAATAACATCATCTTTTTTATAACCTTCATCAGCGTAATGTTTTCCCCGCGACTCATGAAATGCGGTGCCAAGACGTGAACGCCAAGAATAACTAAACTTATCATAGCCACAAGGTGCTTGTAAGTTACCTGTAGTTATAAAGATGACAATAAAGGTAATTAGTTGTAGGAAATGGTACATAAATACACGTATCAATCATCTACAATACAGCTAGCCTTAAATATAATTATTCAATAAATGCTAAATGATCAAAACTAATAAGCTAAAAAGATTTAAGTGTTTAGCAAAAAGTAAATCGAGTATAAAACAGAGTGGAATATTTAAATGGTTAAATATAGTGGAAGTATGAATAAGTATATCGATAAAAAGTGTATTGGCATACGAAAGTTTTAATTATGTATCATGCTATTTAAAAGCCCGATAGTAAAACACTTGGGACAATAAAATATACGGTTATGTATCCAGCTCTTTTAACGTAATTCAAGTAGCTTAAACGTAGAAAACCTGAAGCTATTCTCGAATACGAAACCATTATATAATACCATTCAAACGAATGAAACACGTAAAGGCATTTTTCGAGTACCTTCGTACAACTAAATTGTTGTGTACATGTAGTATCTTTACCGGCTTGATCCAATGATACCCAACAATCTACTGTTGGGTCATCAGCTCCAAAATACTGTCTTCACTCTACGGAGATACTGTATAAGTAAATATAAAGCCTAGAACTATATATTTAACGAAACTGAATATTACGACTCAATATACGTAGCAATTTTTGAAGGTTGATTTTTTATGGTTTGGATATGTCTTGTTGATTTGGTCCTAGCGACTTCTATACCAAAGTGATGTTTAAAAAATGGACATACCTGAGAACAACACTCTTGATATACACAATATCTTAGACTTTATGAATGACCTAACTCTGACAGAACCGTTTAATCCAAAAAATATTAGCAACCAATACTACATTAATTCCGACATTTAATCAGATAGCATATACTTGATTGGGTTTTAAAAGCACACATTAAAACGCTCACCAGGATAACAGACGAATAAATCATCAGTAATGTACATCTGAAATTTTCGTGTTACCTTAATGCTATTCACCTGCTTTACACTTGATTCAGTACATTCAATATACACCTGTATACCGTAAAAACTCAACTCTATACAATATTTGAGGTATACGTTGGCATTTATTTATTAATATAGAAGCGTATGAAGATAGAAGTTCATTACTTATGTCATTGAACTAACGTCCCAATTTACTTATGTTTTTGAGAAACTGACCATTTATCATCAAACATGATAGATATTCGACAACTCACCATACATTTGAGACCAACCGATTCTAGTTGCAGAACCTTCTGGTTGCTCTGTGATAGTTGCTTCGAAGTACCAAGTACCGGAATTAACGCTATGAGTGGCACGGACCATACAATAACCCTTCTCACCAGTAACTGACAACTGCGATTCGTGAACTTTCAAATGATTCGCTATTAACGAAGACAAACAATATACATAATAAAACTTAGTAAGTTCAATGTATACAGAATTTCTAATTATCTGGACTATTCATGAAATGACTCATCCCAAGGTAAAATAGTGTTCGAATGTCTTTTTTTCATGTAAATAAGAAGGGGAAGACACTTTAATTATAAAATCTACTTAATCTCTTTGGATCCAAGTGAATAATAAATAAATTTACTGGTGTTTATGATGTTACAACTTACTACAATTTGTTTTCCTTCGATTTCGAGTCTTATAAATAAGTATTAATATTTGTCAAAAACAATGATAGAATTGTGCCGACAAGTTATCAGATATATTGCTGGGAATTTTCAACAAATTGATAGGCGTTTCAATTATACATATCTACATCTTTGGAATAAGAACAGATTAACACTTAAGTTGTAGATGCTAGCATAATTGAAAAACTTTTTAACAGAAAAATGTATTCAGTGAACTAAAGCAAAAGAAAAGTTAGTTAAGCAAATAATACCTTTCCAGACTGGAAAATAATGACACTTAATCAGCTTGCGAGAACTCGTGAAATTCGAGTGCCACAAGTAATGTACAAAATCTACCAATGGACGTTGTTATACACTGAACTCCTAGGTTTACGCTTTCAATGTCATGTACGTTAAACAGGCCTCTACGTCATATCATGTCTACCGATGCGGTATTGTCAAATTAAGAAATAAAACCAATCTACGGAATTACTGTGTGCTTAAGCTACGGAAACTGCTGTAGATGACAACTTAAAACCTATTTTAGGGGGCGAGATGCACCCGTTTTTCGAAATAAACATATTGTACACTGACTTATTTTAACATATCTCCAGTTTTACACTCCCAAAGAAAAGTCAACCTGAGCTAAGAAACCATTATTCATGCTTTATAATGTTCAGATTTTATACGTCATTTCAAAAAAAAACTAAACAGATTTCAAAAAAACCCTGACGATATTCTAGGCAAACTACTACAAGAAAAAATTGGAAAACCCAGATTTCATCTGAGACAAAAGTTATTTGAAGAGTTTGTTTAAGTATTTTACAGTAACATTAAGCTTACCCCGATCACTCAAAGATAAAACTACTTGTGAGCATAAAAACACACGATAAAAAAGACCAGGTATGGGTTTCCCAGCTGTAAACTCGCATTCGTCCCACTGCTCCCGACCGGAGGCATGTTTATCCGGTTCCACCAAAATGTAACTAAAAAATTTTTAAACCAAATAATTACGAGATGTACAGTACGGTGGAATATATATCACATAAACTTGTTCAAACCCCACTTTATAAACATGTACTTGATAGATGAGTCGCATTTATTTAAGAGATGAGTGAAAGCTGATTGAGATTGTAAATAAACGAAATCAGGTGGTAACCTTTATTTGCATAGCTTTTACTTAATTAAATTGCAGAAAGGTATGCAGCGTGATAGCTCATGATGAAAAGTGAGTTTATATCATTATTAACTTCACACTAGCTAGCTTAATCGTAGACATTTCATTTCCTGAAAAAGCGCTAATATACATGTTACCCGCTAATCTGGGTCTGGTAGACATTTAAATAACCTAAATCTTGATGGGTTGGGATTCGGAAGTGAAATAATAAGATACTTGTAAAAAAGCGTCTACACACAGAAAGTGTTGTTAGAAGTAAGCAAGATGATTCCAAGTCCCATAAGAAAGAGCGTCAGGAAACGTTTGGAATAACTGACTATGGGCAATACCTACTGCATCAGAGCTAACAACACCATTGTTTTGTCTTGGTGGAATCAAACAAAATAGTATGTAACTATATATATATGAATTGTTGTAGTCCCAAGCTAGGATGAAACAGTTGTCCAACGCTTTCTGGCTTCTGATGGTTGTTTACTTAGTCATTTCGTGACATTATCTATGAATGTGTACATCTCTTAGTTTTATTGCATGGTAGTTGAGTTCGTAATTAGCTCTTTATATCCTCCCAGAAGCCTGTCCCAATAGTACATGTTTCGTAATACTCAGACATTTATCCCGTTCTCACTTAATTTTGTTACTTTTACTTACTTTCCTAAGTGTTGTGCTTTTATGTTGTTAAGACGTATAGCAACTTTAGGCGACTTACTACAAAATCAAATGGTACGTTGGCCTAGTCGTTTTGTTACTTGTGGAGAGGAAATGTTGAACCATAACTTGAGAATTAATTGGTGCATTCTGTAAATAGTGAGTTAAGTGAAGAAGTATTAGCAACAAAATGTGAGAACTTTTAGGTAATAAAGGAAGATATACAATAAACAGTTTTGGAACTAAGCATCCAAAAGATACTACAGGGCGACTACTTCAATACACTAGAGTTTACTGCCGTCTACAAAACGTCTATATTTTTCTACTCTGGTAATTAGAGATGGGCCTAAAAGAACTTCATGATAAATATATTTTCCATAATGTCTTAAATGCCTTAATTGTAAAATTTAGAACAGTGGTGGGTTGTTTCAAAGTTTAACTACAAACAAACGTTGAGAGTATATCCAGAACAATAAACTTACCGATAACCTTCCTTATTTAGTGCATGATCAATCGGGAAGCCTAAAGAATTTAACTTTGCACGTCCTTCATCAGAACCTGAAGTTCCACTTAAGGGTGTGGTCCCACCCAGAACAGATGCCGAAGTGGCCCGACGAGTTGAACGTACAAGACCACTGGATAATCCATTATTTACATCACCATTTGATGAGGCAGCAGTTCTAGTACCAGGGAATCCTGGGACATCAGAATTAGTCACAGTACCAAGTGCTGCACTTTCTGATGATCCACCTGGAACAGTAGATATCACTGAAGAACCATTGTAAAAGTTTCCCATCCCACCAGATAACCCACTGCCAGGAGATTTGCGTTTACGCCAAACAGGCACATCTATGCCATCGGCTTCATTGGTGAAAGGCAACTGATTATTAGAGGAAGTAAGATTTGATGATTGGTCAAGTGCATCAGAAACGGAACCTGATATAGATGGTTGGGTCTGTGACACACTGTTTGGTATGTTAGCAGAAGGAACTCCTAGTTTAGTAATATTTGTCCGAAGTTGACTTGTGAGAGCACGAAATCGATCATAACTTGGACCAATCTTGGTAAGATCCTAGAAACATACAAATGAAACAAATTGATTAAACTGCTAAAACATAAATTTGGTCTATATGTAAGCAGCGTTAGTGAATGTGTCACTTCCAAAAAACTTACCTTTATAGTCTTTATAGGCTTACAAATTGAATATTCCTAATTTCTTCTAGAGAAGATTAAATAGCCAAAGTTTAAAATAAGCTTAATCTGCCATGGCCAAAACAGATGGATCTACTTAACCGAATAAAGATACAGTTTGATACCGAACTCTGGTACATTTTAGGTAAATTATGTACTTAAAAGAACAAACTACGATTATTAAAAGTTTCTAATAATAGCATGTATGCATTGGGCAAAAGTTAGAGCAGGAACTTCACAATCGCAAGATCTCAGGTTATGACAAGACCAAATGGCGCCTATAGTACTAATGATACTGTTTACCAAAAGACAGAAAGACTATACGCAGTTTGCTTTTACTCTCAAGTCACAAATCACCAACTAAAGGAAAACATGTAGGTTGAAATTAACTGTTTTCGCAATACTGTATGTCTGCAATGAAATCACCCAATGAGTACTCCTGAGGTCAGACACTACACTTAAAGCAAGGGAAATTGGTTGCTGTAGATTTACTAGGTGCTTTTAATAACAAGTAAAGTAAAGCATCAAGCAAATAAAAACTTATTAATTCTACTTTGAACCATATTGTATGACGGTTAGTAATACTGCTAAAATGAAGTAGTTGATATGGGATTCATACCTACGACCTGTCTGTTGGAAGTCGACAACCTTTTATCTATGTACTGTTTATAATGCATAAATATTTTGATACAATAAGACAATAGGAAAATATGCCATACAAAACATTTATTTCTACCATACTGCCGAAAATAGTTGGAACAGTGAACTTCGTAAAGTAGGCTGTTTATTTCAAGTTGTGGATCTGCAAGTTACGTTTCTATGATCCACTAAATGTCTTCGATCTTTCTGCTGACAAATCTACGTCACCTCCTTAAGAGCAATGGCTAAGTCTATAAATGTACAGAGAGACTTGGAGACCTGTACAACCAGAAAAGTGGTTAAGCACAATGTATTAAGATGGTTTCGTGGTCATACTGTGACCAAAGTATTAGTAGTTAATTCCACCAAGATGTTGAGGAAGCTTCACTAGATAGTATGCATATGACACAACAAATTTTGAAGAAAAAAGATACTTACAGTGTTCGACAGACATACACAAAGACCATCTGAAGTTTCTACCGTCTTGAATACATCACTACTAGTCTGTGGTAATAGATAAACAACCATAACAAACCAAAGTTTTGTGGATATTTGGATACCAAGAATTATTGGACCTTCTTGGCTGTGTTGTAAGTTCTTCCCAGTACTCCTCTAAAAAAGGGATGAGTTCCTTCATTTCCATGAAGTACAAACGCCCTCCATGCTTCAACATCAAGTTGGCAAGAGCCGTTTGACACATAACTGTAAAATTCGCCTGCTTTCTGGAAAATACTTCTTCCCCGATCGGGTTGCACTTCTTACACATGAAATGGTAAGCTGTTAGGAAAGGTAACGCCTTTCTTCAAAAAAGAAACTATTTTACTGAAAATGTAGACAAACCCTATGTTGAATGCTATACATTCAAGATGGAACCATTTATAACAAACACTGCACTGAAAATCCGGTCTACTAAAATCACGTGGCGACATGCTGAAACATTATTATATGAATGAAAGCCACAAACCAGTAGCATTGAGGACCAGGAGGAGTCGGTATATTTACGACCATTGACAACTGAGTATTCTGATCACAATCCATTTTCTCTGTGTTGTCCAAGACCTCTGGTTTACATTTCGATGCTTCTATTACGCTCTCGTTAGTCTATCAAACATTTAAATCTGCAAAATAAGAAAGGAAAATACCATCGGTTGAAAAACCCTCCTCCGTAACGACAATTTTAGAATATGCGCTATTCAATACCCAATATCTTCGTCGCGAGCTCGTGTAAGCTACTTAGTCTTTTGCACCTCGCTTCTTGAGAGTGAAGCATGGTTTCGGGCTCCTACAATCCTTCATTGTGGGTCATCTAGGCATTCGTGTGCTCTACTCTTTGTGAAATTTATAGATTCTTTGGGATTAATATGACTTGGATACAATTGAATGCTTTTGTTACACGGAAGTAAGTTTGATAGAACCAGAAGCTATCACATTGCTAAGCAGAAAGATATTAGATTGCATTGCGAAAACCATACGATAGAATCCAGAGGAGAAGAGGAAAGACAATGGTTACAAGAGGTTTATAGATTTGTAGTATCAGAAAATATCTCTGAGCCCTAGTCAAATCGTCCGTCACATCGAATGGCTACGACGTTTATTGGTGAGATACTGGGCGCCAAACGGTTTATCAAACCTCTTCAAAGTCATAGGTAGCTGACACGGATCAATAAACTTCTCAGGCCCATCCATCAATGTCCTTACGCCACACCTCTCCAATCTGCTATCCATAAAGACATACTCCATTTTAATAAGGTTCTATTTTTCCTTGGCAGTGACTAGTGCAGTCCCATTACTTGGCTACTGTAATGGAGTGAGACAAGGTGAAAACTTTTTACTGGATGTAACTTCTACGTAAGCCAGGTGGTGAGTCACGCAATTCCCGCCTAAATCGAGTTAACGCATCATCAGTATTGGTGATCTACATAATTACCCCAACAATGTAAGTGGAAAAACTTGCAAGAAAACCAGATAAACGGATATAGAGAGCAGCAAAATAAGTAGGAATAAGCTACTAGTAGTAATGATGAGGATATTAATGATAGTAAGTTTTGAAACGTACCAGCCACAGCTAGATCATATGTGAGTAAGTTGTTATCGTACCTCCTACTGAAACAGTCAGCTAAGACGGCTATCCTCACGTCGTACGGAGGAATATTTCAGGCAGAGCCGGTTCGTAGCAAGTAAATATGTGACCTTGTAGTGGTATTGCTTCTGACCACACGATATTTGAAGCTGAGCATATGATAACTGAAGAAATCAACATATACGTACATTAAACAAATATTAACTGACTTTCTAACTTGAACCAAAGATAATAACAATGTCAACATATATACAATATCAATTGCTATCGATTTCCAAGCACAAAATCCTTTTATTGCTCATAAGTTAAATTGTTAAACAGTGGTATGAGTTGTTAAAATATCTCTATACCGAATTAATCTTCACTATGATAATCCCACCTTATTTAACCCTTAAATAATTCTCAAATAGATTTTCACTTCAGGCGTGTTAAGAATTATACCAAACATGTTTGAAACTACTACATGTATTTCCCAATAACTTGCTTCTACTCTCTTTTGGATTTATCTTCCAGTTTGCCGACAGCCGAGGGTTCGTATTATTCCTCCGAAAACCTCCGGAGCGAGATAATCCCACTCGAATTTGTATCGAACCAAGGTTACGTGGGTTCTGATGAGGTAGTAGTGTATTGGTAATGATTCTAACCAAGCGACACTTGAAGGTGATCATAAGATAACTGAAGAAACTCACACTCAACATTTAGCACTGTGAAAAGACCAGTGATGATAAATGCAGGGATGATTGGTAGAAATGGCATGGCACGCTCATGCAGGCGTGATTACCCTATGTAACCTATTGATTTTTGTATTGAATATATTACTCTCTACCCAGCCCAAAATGTATTCTTCAGAAGTGTTAAACGTCGTGTAATTTACTGTCACGTAGGACGAGTCAGTATATACCACAATCTGACTTCCAAGTAAGATCTTATGGGTTGGATAGTCACATCATAACGAATCTACAGTTTTGGGGTTATCACTATAATAGTAGCAAAGATAAATGTACTAATATCGAACTACACCACAATTATTCGGGAATTTTTCCCGAGTTTTCTACGATTTCTCTTAAGTTATCGATTAATCTAATGAGTGTAAGTCTTCTGCATTTGTGAGCTGCGTCTTCTCTCGTTTGTTGAAAATCTTCAAAGCCACTTTCAAATTCTGTCAAACTGAAGAACCTTTGGTAAGGCAGTTGCTATCGAAAATAGCGCCCAGTTCTATGGAAGCCATATTGGAACTACTTTGTCAAATCGTATTAACCACTGGTAGGAAACAGAGAAACAACTCAAACTTTTTATTTAGATACAGAATACAAGGAAACAAACAATGGTTGAATTGACTCATCAATAAGAATTCTATAAAGACTATCCAGAGGTACCAAATGCACTTAATAGGAGATCAAAGTAGCATGCAATCAGGCGGATCATTTCTTGCTATTCAGATACAGGATGCCTACCGTCACTACAACCGTTCAAGGTCGTATATACTACAGTGGACTAGTTCTAAACAATAGCCTACTCAAACCGTATGCCACCAGAGCAACAGGGGAATAAATTTTCTCACATAAGAATCTGGATGACGCTAGTAAACACGCATATCCAAATGGAAAAGTCGTCGCGCTTTATTGAAGCTGTGTTGTGATGAACAACTGTTGGTTGAGAGTTAATTTAAATAAAGCTCACAGCTGTGATAAATGCATAACCAGCCTGTTAAAAACGTCAACTATCATGTATTACTTGGTACTTTTTGATAATGCTCTCCAGACAATCTAACAGCCTTCAGAAGACAAAACTATAAATCTTTCTGAAATATCAGGGGCATTAATTGGGGTGCTGCAAGAAAACATATGACTCATCTATATTATTTCGATGATGTATCTCGACGGCACTAAAAGCGTGAAAGTAAAAGAAAAGGACCAGAAAATATTTATACGAGATGAAGTGGAATCACTTATGATGAAACAATTAAGGTGTGATCACTTAGATTCATTTCCTTTTACGAGATCAAGTTTTATGTGAGTGTATCTCGTCCTGGAAACAAACCGATAGTACGGCAAAGCATAGAACAGCATAAGTGCTGGGGGGGCTCAAAAAAGCTGACTAGTTTAAGATTATGCAGGTCTCTAGAAAGTGGTAAGGAAAACAAAGTGTTCTGATGCACAAATGAATTCTTTCATGACAATTTCTATAAAATTTTTCATTAATGTTATAATCATAAAGCCGTGAGTGGACCCAATATTAAAATAACTATCCAGTTAAGTTGTAGTAGGATGTTTTAGCAAAAAGTGAGGTTACAAGGTTACAAACATGAGTAAAAGAGGATGCTTGTCATAGTAAACTAGTATGGATACCACCAATTAGTTACATACCACTAGATCTCAAGGAGCCACGAGAAAACAAAGTTTTCTACCGTACAGTCATGTGATGATGTAGTTATCTCTACGCCACAATGTTTTCTTGTCAGAAACGCCACCTCACTTATATTGTGATGTTGGTCTATCCCTTACGCTTGTGGTCCGTCTTGATATTGCTGTGATCTATATTGCACACCTTGTTGGACCAGTTTGTCTCTGTCAGTTCCATGTTACAGGCGAATAGGAGCTAAAGCTACCGTATTATGGGTTAGATGTCAATTTAGTATAACACACTGATATGAAGTTAATTGATAGTATAAATTGTAAGCTAGATGTCAAATGGTATGTAGTTTGGAGATGGTGAAGATAAACAAGTAGGCAAGTAAGAAAAGCAATTTACTTGACGTATGACAGTGGTTCATAAGACGGACGAAGACCTACGGTGTGCGGAATGTAGAAATATAATTATTTAGTCACTAATCATACACTAAAAGCATAAATAACAGTGGGTAACACGTTTTCTGCGGTTACCGCTTCTCTGATATTTATTCTGTTAACATGCGGAATATTTTAATTCAGTAGGTCTACACCTTGATTAATGCTTTGATACTATTACCTAGAAAGTTGCTAAGAATGTTCTGCAGTTACTGCATGCAATATTTTAATAGTTACTAGTCCCTATGCATTACCTTGTAGCATCAATCTAAACTGTACGTCTTCATCAACGATAACGAACGGAAACAGATTTTAGTCATCTCACCAAGTGACTGTTAAACAAGCCATTCTTTGTCTACAGGGATGATGACATATTCTGTGTCGCACAAATCTAGATGATGATTGTTTTCGTTAAATCAATCGTCTTCTCGTGATAAAAGCAAGTCACCACAGTATGATGGGGTTCTATTTTCGGTTTCATTTCAGGAGAATGGGAGGTCAGCTTTCTGTGCCAGTCATTGCAATGTTGGTTTCCCACGTGATCCAACTTTCTTTTGAAATCCTTGACAGATGGACCTTCAATCACGTGTTGAGGTAGTGAGCTTCGTTCGTTGATGATCTGACTGTAAAGTCGATAATCAGCTGACAAGTAATTTGTTATAAACTTGTGAACTCTTCCAAAGTATCCCCGTAAATTCTCTGTTTTGTATGATAAGAGAAATGAGGGCATCTCATATGCAAAAGTACCACTAAGTTACTCAAAATTATTGACTAATTCAACTCTGGTTCTTCTGTATGACAATGAAAATAGATTTAGACTGACCAGTCGAGCACCATACCGGAGCATAGCTGACCCGAGAACCAACTTATCAGTGATTATCCGGACCGTTTCCATCAGTGGAAGTTTGCCGTTTATATGCAAGACTCCAGTTTGAGACTGACGAATACTCTATACAAAGTCGAAAACGCTTTACCATCGACGTAGCTAAAAGCTCTACGCATAGACCATAGGGTTTTAAAAACTTTGGCTGCTATTGCATGGCAGTGTGCGGTGACTCCTGGGACACTGTGTCTGGACAACAGGGAGATCAATGTTACACACCTTGTATGTATTTATAGAATTATGGTCTAGTTCGTCATTAGTACTGCTCTAATAGTAGACGTAATCCTTAAATTAGAGATTTTTCATCATATGACTACCTAATTTATAATATCTTACGTCTACACTGACCCGTCCTATCGTAGAAATCAGCTATATATGATGGAAAACACATTCCGACTGGAGACCGAACAATATATTTTTGGAA